AGGTGAGGGTGGGGGAAGGAGGTGTGGAGGTGGAGGGGGAGGTGGGAGGAGATGTGAGTGGGGGGATGGAGGTGTGGAATGGAGAGGGGAGGCAGGGTGGGGTGGGGAAACAAAAAGAAATTGTTGTGAATGGCAATCAAATGAAGCAGTTGAGCAAGATTCTTTTTCTCCTTTCCCCCTTCTTCTTCTTCTTCATTTATCTATTCTCTCCTTTATATTGCCTTCAATGTTGTTTTTTCCCATTAAATCAGATCCCTAGTAACATGATTCCATCAACGAAAGGAGTGCTGATGCCATCACAGTAACCATTTTGAGAAAAGCACAGACATTGGAAAGACAGAGTGTTATTTATATTAAATGACAGTGACAGCATAATTGTTCAGTACTTCGGAGTACTCTTACAAAAGAAATTGAAACAGTATTGCGTTATTTTCTATGAAATTTAAACAAAATTAAAATCCTTTGAATTAAATAAACATTTTTTCTTCATTCATTTGTCGATTCGTTCATTCATTCACAATATAAAATGAAGCCATTGCGTTTTCATTCATTCTTTCATTCATTCTTTCAAAATAAAAATGACATTATTCTTCATTCATTAATTCATTCCTTTCCAATAAAAATGTAAAAGTAAAGTTGTTCCTGCATCCGATCCGGACATTGGGGATTGCCTTGTTAGTGAGACAACTTCTTGGGCCTTCGGTATATTGTGGTAGGGTGGCCAGTTCCTTTCCACGCTGCCTTTACTTCCCCAACTCGAAGTCAGGTACCCATTACTGCTGGGTTGGCAGGAGGGGAGGCGAAAAAAAAATCTGTATCCAAACCGAGGCTCGCACCCAGACTTTCCCCTTCGGAGACGAGCGCACCAACAGCTCCACCACCGCACCCTCAAAATATGTTTCTTCATTAATTCCTCACTTAATTCTGTCACTCGCTTAGAACAAAAATGGATCCAAACCTTGAGCAGTTTGGCGGCCTCTGGGTTGAAAGTGGGCGTCTTGATGTACTGCAGGAACAGCGTGGAGATTCTCTTACGCAGGCCCGTCAGATTGCCCTCCTTGACCCCCCTCATAAGTAGGTCGGCCTCGCGGTCAATCAGCTCAATGATCTCCTGGGTCAGTTTACAGTCGTGTTCCTGAGGGGGAAACAACAGATTCATCGCTCATTGGGGAAACTCCTGGACTGATAAGTCATTATCATCTCAACAAAC